ATCGTAACTACATGAGCGAAAGAAACGACCAATAAATCGAAGAAAATCGAGCGTAACAGGTCGTTGATTGTTGTTGATGAAACGAATGGATTTTACTTTACAATAAATGAGTGGTGAATCGAAGTGTACTTTGTTAAGTCGCCACGTTTTCAAATTGGTCGATAAGCATATATTATTCAAGGAAGCACAAGGCATTGAAGTAATGATAATGTGTCCATCATCGTCAAGTTGAAGGAAAACTGATGGTCGACTATCGTCGAACCACCAGCCATTTTGGAATTGGCACAATAGTTGAGTTATATCAATACTATTATCTTTGACATAATATTCAAAGACAAATGTAAGTTTTTTTAGATACTGACATGGTTGAAGTAATCTCTCGAGACGTTGTCCGATATTTTGATAGTCTATGCCTGTAACAATGAGTACCAGTTGTTTTAGGCACGTCTTGCACGAGTCGACTAACCATTCGATGAAATCAAAACGTATGTCATAATTATTGAAATAGATGTGTAGTTGAGTTAGATACGCAAATTTAGGTACACGAGTTCGAATAGTTTCATGAAAATCGTTATGCCAATCTACGCAGGCTATGATTTTAAGGTATACTAAATTAGGTGTACGATCACAGAAGTAAATCAAATTCTGCTCACTCTATATGGTTATAATTGCGCACTCGATGACTGAACATGGTAGGGCGTTCATCAATGCTTGTTCCTAAAGGTTTTCATGATCTAAACACAAGTAAGTTAGAATTTTTTTCTTACTCACTTCATCGACGACGATACGAGACACAACAGTGTTCGGATCAAAAAGTAGAGTAGTTGCCTCTAGAGCTGTTCCCCAGATATTGCATATTCGAAGAAGATTCAAACATGAAATAATAGCGCCTAGAGCAGAACAATATTCGACATTCAATTTGNGTTTTAATTTTTGATTGATCACAGCGTGGACAAACACAGAAGCAATTTCCGTTCAAGTATCTTTGCAATAGGTGACTTAGCCTTCTTGTTTCTTAATGTTTTATATACCATTTTGTAGCTCGTGAAATTCTCTATCGAATGGTATATAATAGTTGGAGTTTTGTTTGATTATGAGAGGAAAAGGTTTTTACGAAAAGCGGGATAGGTCAATGTTCGCATAGAAAAGCATAGAGAATAATGACTCATTTTCCGATAACTCAGCGATGACTCGACGAATCATTCTCATCTTCGAACTCGACCGAGATATTGATGAGACACAACTGTGTAGAAAATTTCATCACGATTGGATTCTCCTTTCGAAAGTTATCGTGTAAACGGCCGGACACACTGACCGATTCTATAGTGTACTCACTTTTTGAGTGCACAAAAAAGAGACTTTCCGTTTTAGAAAACGCGTGGGAGGGTAAAAGTAAAGCAAGTCTCTGAATATAAAGCACAGATACTATAAATTTCAGCAATGTCCTAAGACACTTAATTCTTCTTGAATGAATCACATTTAAATAGATTAACTACGTATGCCGAATACGTGCTCACTACAAATATACATATATATATATATCACACTGAACTCGTAAATGTTGTATCACCTGCACAAGTATGACACAAAAATAATATATCCATATATGTACACATATGCTCGTCTTTTTTGGGAGAGTGAGACTAGGGGAACTTATAAACTTTAAATACATAATTCCGAAAGCTTTCTAGCCCCTCTTCCCTCCTCCCGTCCCAAAAAATGGGGCATATACATACATATATAGCTATATAGTTCTAAAGCTCCCTAGCCCCTTTTTTCTGTTTGAAATCGATAGTTTTTCTTTGCTTTAAATTCAAATTGATATCAAATAGCCCATTGTATGATGATTTATGTTTACAATGTTGTGAAATCGAATTATCAACTTCGATGATGTTGCTTCGGTTAAAATTAGTACCATTATCCAAACTATATAATCAATGACATTACAATAAATTATTATGCGCTATATTTATTTTCAATGCTCCGAAATCAATCTATCGACTTCAATGTTATTATTGTGGTCGATTTATGAACTGCTATTAATATTTTACCATCATCTACTACAAAATTTATGATGAAAATTATATTGCATTATATTAAGATATGAATACATTGTACTATTTTAAATCAAAATGAATTAATATTTATATTGCATTGACAAAATTTTATGTTAATTTATAATTAACTTTTTCCTATTGTTGAGTAAGACTATAAGGATTGGAAAATGTGGACTAACATTTTTTTATTGCTTCGAGACAGACAATGTAAATTTAGTATTGATAGTAACAGATAGCACTTCTCGACATAGTTTTAGGATTAGAATAACATAATCAACTTCTGATGGAATAATTTCTTTTTTTATAGACGTTCAGTGAATCATTACTGATTGTTGTATCTTAAAACTTTATTTCTAACTATGTTTATTGTAGAAAGAGTTACCATGCTATGACCCAGCCTGTCAGGTGGCTTCTTTGCCTGATACAGAGAGACTCAATATGCCTATCATTGTGAATGCAGTGTAGTAATCGGAAAAGTCTACTATGAGCGTATGGTTCCTATCGTCATTATGTACGTCATATCCAAGTTTATTGACTTACCAGTTCGGCGCGATCAGCTCTGTGTGTATCCATTGCAGACTCATAGAAAGTCTCCGTGATCGCGCGCGCATGTGATAGGGAGTCGAAAAACACGAAGGGACCGTAGGTAGCAAACAAAATGGGTTATTGAGCAAGCCAGTGAAAAAAAACAAATTTACATCTTCTTTTCTACATAGTCAATATTGTCTATCGTTGTTTCAATCGTACTTTTTCGTAAAACTCAAGTGTTTTCGACTAATTGTCCATGTAGCCATAAGCTAGACCGATGTTGTTGTAGGTAGGAGGCAAAGAAGAATAATCTTTGAGAAGAGGTTTTTGTTTGATTTGAAGAGATTTTCGTAAAACATAATCTCTTCCTCATAGTGGCCCTGTTGCCATTTTATTCTACCTAGTTCGTGATAAATATACGCTTTATCACAGTCGTTGGATGTCTATTCCAGTAGTGCGCTATATAATTCTTCAGCCTTGTAGAATTGACCTATTCTGAGCAGCAATTTATTCAATCGTGTCCAATCTATCTGATCTGCAGCTTCTTCTCGTATACGATCGGTTAAATGGGGAAGTTGTTGGTGATTGTCTGCCGTAAGTTTAAGATCTACTTCATAAAGTAGGTGATTGTTGTCTACTTTTCGAATGTCGTCAATTCGAAAAAGAGTGTGTATGGAGAAGAAGATTTCTTCTTCTTCGTAATAACTCACCTCCTGGATGAAAGCGAACGAAGTCGATGAGATGGTGGGATCTATGGTCATTTGAAAAAGGATACCGGTCATATCAGTGATTTATAAGGCTTGGTTGACAAAATCGAGAGACATTTCTCGGTTTTTATTGGTAGATAAAATACTATTAAAAGATATAAGTTCATCTTTGTTTTTTGCGAGTTGTTCTAAGTCGGCTGTCAATAATCCCTACCCCCGAAAGACTGGAAAAGTCTTGTTATAGTAAACACTAACCGGTTTCTCTTGTGTAAAATTTTGATTCGTTATATTTACATCATATCTTAACGATCGATTCTGTAGCACGATAAACTCAGAAACGCTAGTATTCATTATTTCTGAAGGTTAGAACTAAATTAGTTCATGCTTTTGTGTTTGCCATATGACAGTTGTGGAAAATCAAAACATGATTCTTGATATCCATCATGTAATCGTTTATTTGCGCAAAAATCAGAAACTGAGTTATTTAGAATTTTGAAAGATATTCCAGCCACTTACATTTCAAGGAATGTTCTGAAACCTTCTAAGTCTTGTTATTAATGTTGTTCAATGCCTTTAATCGCGGTTGTTAAGGTTTGTAAATGGTAGGGAGAGAGTGGAAATCCACAAAATTTCTCCATAAAACTTACACTCGCTATTTACTTCGAAAATATACGTGAGTTTCACGAAATCTACATGGTAATTTGTTGTATATCTCGATTTTCTTACACTTTAGAGTGCTTCCTCTCCTTTCCTGCGTTTCTCAAGAAGGCTTCAACCAAAAATTCTGAATTTTTTAGGGTAGATAGATGCCGACTAATAGAGCAAAGGTTGTCACAGAGTCAGGATTTCCAAATGCTTTCTTCTATGAAATGTATGGGACGCAAGGATCAAAGATAACCTGAAACTTCCTCTCTCTCTCCAGTAGACAGCCATAATTCATTTTTTTGTAACAAATAGGGTCAAACTGGGGTGAATATATATAGTGTTTTCTTTAAAAATATTCTTTTCTTAGCTTAGGAGAACAAAAATACTGCAAGTGCTGTAAAGAAACATATTTTTTTGGTCTACGGCAAATTTTGTAAGGTCTGCCAAAAATCAGCAGAACACTATTTTCAGAAAAAAATATATGCACAATCCGATTTGACTTTAGTTGATACACAAAAGAGTTCAACTCAATTCATCGAAGGGTCCGAGAGAAAAACAGAGAAAACTTCAATTTTTCTGTTCAAAAAATAATTTTGAGAAAAACGTGAAACAATGTATAATTAACGTTGTAAGACAATGTTTGAATCACAAAATGTGCTCAGTATATAGATACTACTTCAAACTATTCAGTGGTCATAAAAAAACCAAAAATTTTGGGTCATGAATAAAAAGAAACTCTTAAAATTGTAAGTAACTAGCGGATTTCTCTCGCATTATTCCTAGTAAATAGCACATCTGTAATCATAGTTATACATCTTTTTATTCATAGAGCCTTAAGAAAAAGGAATAAAATGAAATCCAAACAATAGTCATAAATCTTATAAACAGCTTCAAAATCAAATATTGTAAGAAATCACAGAATAAAAGTTTCATTTTTGTGTTTATCAATACTATTTATTTTGAAATAAATTTAATATTAACTATAGTTTTCTTTTTACAATCAAAATAAACGAATATTAGATAATTCTATGCTAATAGCAGAATATATAATAATATTTTATAACTAAACATTTGATTCTTCTATTAATGTTTTCCAAGCGCCAATAGGTTTTGTTGATGGAAATAAAATCAAACGAATACAAATCGAAATACCAAAAATAATTGAACTAAAAAGAATAAGACTGGTTAAAGTCAAAATAGAGATAACTATTATTTTGATAATGTCATCAATTTCTTGTTGTTGATCATAATCGTTACTCAAATGATGAAATATTCGTGATAATTGTGAATTAGCAGTTGATTTTTTTTCAATAACACTAATTGTATCTTTAATCTTTGTACCAACACTATGATATTAATAAGAATATTTAAAAAGATCATTCCATAAAAGACGTCCAGATAAAAATCGCATTTTTAACCTTCTCCGATTTTGACAGCCCCTCCCATCTTGAATGTGCAGTTCCCAAACTGTTTTTAGAAAGAGTCTGTTTCAGTGGAGAATCCAGAAGGAAGCGATGATCGTCTCCCATTTTGAATTTATGTGTGCTATATCCTAATTACCTTTAAGTTTCAATTAGATTTACAGAGACAAATAGTGCGCATTTGTCACTATTTTTAAGTGTATAATACTTCTATTCTGAAATGAACGATTAGATAGAAAGACAAACAATGATTCATATATATATATATGCTGTACTTAGTGTTATTGCTTGTATCAAGTGCTCTTTTTTTTGTTGGCTATGATATGACTTCTACACATTGACATCAAATGAATTATCGACTATTTCTCAAAAAACGATAAAAATATCACATTAAGTTTTCGAGAGTCCAGCCGTGTCTAACCCTTCTCACAGCCTACCCAGTTTTTATTGATCTCTCTTTTTCCTAAAGGTCTTTTATGGATGACTGCAAAGCAAATTAACAGAGTATATATCAAAATAGACTTACCAAGATAATTGTTTTTGAGTAACATCAATTTTAAATTTTGTATCAGTATTTGTTTTTAGAGGTTTATTATTATTATTACTAAATAAAAATAGAAAATATTTATCAATATTATTTCAAAGCCAATATTTGATGAAAACAAAAAAAAGGATTATCAGATTTTTTCAGTAAAATTTTTATTACGAAACGATTAGTTAAACGTACTTGAAATTATTAGGAAACAATAAAAACTGTTCAGTCGAAATATTAATTTTATGTTTTGCTGTTTGTTTTAATTCAACATCTAAATTATTCAATACCATATTATTTACTTAACTTATCAATTATAAAAAAAATCAAAATATACGAAAACAATTAAAGATTATTTTTCTATTTACTCATTTCACAATTCATTGTTAATGCATTGTAATTAAGATCTGGTTTACATTTCATACGAATACTTCTTTTACCATTATTTCCACATATTATAAACTCATCGAATTTATTCGATACGGGTAAATGAGTACCAGGAGCATAATCACGACAGATTAAATCTACAAAAAACCCATAAAACTAACTGATTGAAAAAAAAGACAAACTCAATCCAATTACGACCTAATTCAATAGTTGAAGTATCATCAATTATTGTTGGTTCTGTTGGTGATTCGTATTGACAATTAACCTAAATAGATGAGAGAAAAAGTTTTATTTCCATATTTCTATTCAAGAAACAAACTAGTTGAGGTGCTGAACACATAAATGTTTGTGGATCGAAATGTAATCCATTTGGACATTTGAATATTTCATGTTGTTGATTTTGATGACAATAATGAAACAATGAACAATCAAGTATATCCGGATATATTCCAGTTTGAATACATTTTGATGTTGCAGATTTTCGACGATAATAATAATAATCATGGTCTAGTAATAAAGTAAAAACTGTTGATATACAAAGTTTTCCAAAGATCGTGATGAAGGAAAAGATGTAAATAACGTCTTAGCAATTCAAGAGGTTTAAGTATTTCTTTTTACACACTGATCACGTATTCATTAAAGTTTTATTCAATATATATCATATAAAATGTTCGCACCTAAACAAACCAGAATTAAAATAGTTTTATTCATGGCCCAATTCGAATAAATCAGCATTGTAAAACAGTAACTACAAATTGAATTTGGAAAAAAAATACTCCAACTAAAAATTGTATTAACAACACATCCCAGTGATTGTGTAACACCAGTATTATCGAAAGTCGATGAAGTTAATAGCACTTGTAAAACTGAAGCAGCATCAGGTATTCGATCGATATAATTCTTTTGCATCGAAATGTTGAACCAATAGTACTTTGTATGACTTTAATAAGAGATGTTCCGTCATAATCCAATATGTTTTTGTTTATAATAATGAACAGGCTTGTAGAATAGACTGAAAACTTAATCTGAACTCATTTTCACATGTATCCTTAACATCATCGACTTTCTCTTCAGTAATTACTTTACGTCTTTCAGGATGTGAACAGTTTTCGATAGTAGTGGTTTCATAAAATCGCTGAAATCTGACACTAATATAGGATTCAGATGGCGTGCTTTTGCTGAATTCAACCATGGATGAAACTATTTTGATTTTGACTTCTTTAGATGCAGATATTTTATCTGAAATAAAGGGTGTTCCATAAGTATCAATCCAATTTTGATTTTTTTAAAATCTTTGCTTTATTTAAAGGTGAATGGGCATTAATGATATGTTTTTGAAGAGCAGCACCCTTATTTCATGCTCAAACTATACAAGAACAGAAGTCTAGATACTATGTGCTTAATCGATTTATGTCACAAGAAATTAGATACATGACAGATTGACATGCAGCGAGACTAACTGAATATCACCGCAACCTGAAAATCTTTAATCGAACTCTTTTTGACATGATAGAGTGGTTGTTCAGATTTTCTCTTATGTGGTTGGCGTGCTATACCAATAGAACGACAACAGTAATTTTTGGTGAGTGAGTGAGCGATTAGTTGTTATTATTAAACTATAATTATATTCTTATCTTAACATGTAACGATCAGATTAATTCAATTGTAATACTTTGACGTTTTCGACACCGATTTCCATTACAATGTCTTCCATATTTAAAAATATTGATATAAAAAGTATAAAAGAAAACTTAAATTTTATGGAACACCCTTCATATAGAACAAAACTTTAAAGAATATGTGATCAAATTGTAGGAAAAAAATTAAAATCCCTTGAATTTCTGAGGAGCTATTCACGTTTGCTTTTTGTTTTCGCTTCGGACTTTTGGAACAACGAGTACATACTTTTGATTGGTTCTACACTTGGTAAAAGATTAATATCTTTCATTGTCTGAAGAATTTCAGCACACTTTATTTCTTTTTCCTTTTATTTTAAAAAGAATAATATACACATCAATCAGTTATTAAGAGAATTTCTTACCATTGGCCAATATTGACATTCACCACTGGCTGGATTAAACAAGAAACCATCAATACATGAATAAATTGTATGAATACCAAGTGTACACGCGTGAAAAAGTGAGCATTTACTTGTATGTGCATAATTTCCACTTTTTTCTGGACATTGTCGAAAATTTGGATCATCATTAGATATATTCAATGGAATTGGAAAAACACTTCCTAATGATTAAAATATACAAATAATATGAAGTAAAGAAAGAAAAAAAGATTAAAACGAAATTATTTTATATTGTTTTACCAAATGCTGATGCATTTAAGACTTTGTTAACTTGAATAAAAATAGTAAAAATGATAAAGAATACCGCGGACATATTTCTTCTGATTACTAAAATATGAAAATGAACATGTAACTGTAATATTGCATCAATCTACTGAATAATATCCACCGCGCTTGATTTAATCGTTGAACGGTAGTAGAAATATGTTGTGTAATATATATATATATATGCTAAATGTCTCAATATAATACTCACGCGATGACTAACTTATTCATACGTACTCTATCATCGATCAAACACTTCAATCGTTACCTGAACGATTCGTTTGATTGTTTCACATCCTTGCTCATTTTTCTTTTGCTTTCTTCTCTTCAAATTATGTATATTTATAAATGACAATAGTAATATATTTAATAAATATTCATAGTAACAGGAAGTTCATAAATAATGAGATATCTGTCATGATAATAGTAAAGCAATTATGAAACATATATTATATTTTGAAAGCTATTGGTAAATGTATGAAAAAGAATTTTCAGTAATTCATACAAAACACCGTCGATTAGCTTTTGGTCAATATGCATATAAGGGATGAATATTTGCATATTAGTTATTTATATAATCTTTTGTAGAAAAAATAAGATACACAATATTGAGAATGTTAGAATCGTTCGTGTTTGAAAAGACAAGATTTCCAAGACTATCATATGCAGCTGTTCATAGCTTGAAGAATCGTGAAATGAAATAGTTCTTTTTCTCTTAAAGAATGATATATTGTAATGCTAGACAACAAAAACACTATTATTGTAGCTCCCGTCTTATATAAGACTCGGAAAGAGAACTCGACGAGACTAGCAAAAGCTTACAAGGGTTCGTCCCTATGGTCATTTCGCACCAAGACATAACGAGTTTACTAGATTTCCGAACTTATTTGTTGGCGATTCCTGAAAAAGCAAATCCTGAAGTTTCGATCTAGAATTTTGCCTATAAATAGGTTTAATGACTGTTAGAATGTTCTAAATGTTTCAGCTGAAAAGGAATTTCTAAAAATAATACTTTGTCATAAACATGTCATAATAATCAAGTTTACTTAAAAATTTAATAAATCAATAAAGGAACATTTTTTTCGGCTGAAACTTTTAGGATATGCAAATGAGTCGAAAATCCGGTACACTGATCATAACTCGACGCTTAAGATCCATGAAGATAAACCCGTGAAGACTTTTGCTAGTCTCACTGAAACGTGCTTGTCGGATCTAAAATAAGTTGAAACGATGGGTGTCAATTTCGACAGTTCTCTTGTAATTAATACAGATTCCTGTTATCTATCACAGTCGTCCATGCTTAATCAATTTTGTCATCTTCATCAAATATTATAAGATTTGTTCCCATGAACAAAATCTCTTTTTCATGATATTCTGTCGGATACACATTGATAAAATTTTGTAATTCAACTGTGCGCAATAATTTATGTCTTAGTTGATATATCAACTTTGATTGGCAATAAATATGATATAACAAATAAGAATATTTTTGTTTTGTGGTAATTTATTTTACAATAAGTACAATGTATAGATTACAAGAACTTAAAGATAAGAACTACCTTCCATACTTCTCGTACGTTTATTTTTTCTTTCTGGAATCAAAGTTATTTTTTTAAATAAATTCCAAACATTTTGACGAAATTGCATGGATACAAGATAATGAACAATAAATTTATTTGAATAATTAATTGCCATTAAAAGCATACAAAATTTCATTAACATTTTCCATTGAGAAAATTTTAAACAATTTATTTCTGATGTGTTTCCTATTGTATTATCATTAAAAAAATGTGAATGAAAAAACTGAAGAATATTCATTGGCATAACACTTATTGTATAATATATCGAATAAATTACAAGTAAAAGTGAAGCTGTACGCATATGTCTTGTACCTGTTGTTTCACTTGTTGTTGATGGACGACGATAATAACGATTTTTTAATATAACAAACGAACAAATACATATTATTAGACATGGAATAAATGCTAATAGAGCAAGACGTATAAGTGCCCAAATTTTTCCTTGCCATAATTGTGCATATGAATAATATTCACAAACATTATATGAATAAGAAAAATAAAATGAAAAATGATATTGAATTATAAGAATAAAAACAAATATTATTATAAACATTATTTTAATTAATGCTTTTGTTCGTGTTACAAATGTTGAATAACGACTAGGATAAACAACAATAAGAAAACGATCAATCGATGCAGCTGCAAGTAAAAGTGTTGAAACATTTGATACACCAATTGTTAAACTGTAAAAGATTCCACATGTTAAAACAGCACGAGGATCACGTAATAATGAAAATGAAGCACACCATAACCAGAAAACAACTAAAATTCAATAAGATATTTCATTATCTATTACTACTTATTTTCTACTTGTAACTGATCCGGAGATCAAAATCCAGCAAAAAAAACCTTCTCTTTTATTTCATTGACAATACCATAACATCACTAGTGTTTAACTATTTATAAGTGGTCGCAATGAGACGATTTTTTTCTTGTGATTAGACTTGTTTGGATTCAATTTAAACACGATATCGTATAGTTCTATTTGGAATTGAATATTTTATTGATACCCACTGATCTTTCTTTTTATACTTCTAGACTAAAGAAAAGTCTAAATATTGATTCATATAATGCACTAGCTTTTTATCTCTAACTAAACATTTTTTGCGATTAAAAAGTAACAGACATTTTTATGGAAAAGTTAATTGACATAAGAAAACATATGATATGTTATTAAAACTTTTTCATTAATAATAGCTAAAAATAGATTTTTTTTTATACGTACTTATGAGATAAATAAATTCAAAAATAGCAATTGTTGCAAAATATAGACAAACAGGTTGTCTTCGATTTCTCGAATTGAGCATAATAATAACAACAATTACATGACCAGGCATACCTAATAGAACACATAACAGTGCACCTACTCGCCAAATAGTCTCGCCAAGTAAATAGTATGGATGATATTTGCATAATTCTATAGCAATCGATGTTTCTATATTTGAAGAATTTTCAATGGATAATGACATAGTGTATAAAGTATTGAAAGGAAATTCAAAGTGATCTAGAGAATCATTATAATGTTCATTTTTTCTTCTTTTATTATCGAACGAATATGGTACTCAGTGTTGTCGTCTCCAATTACCTTTCCAACTTGTGATGCTATAGTAGAAAGCAAGAACAAGAAAAAGAAAAAAAATAGACTTTCTAACACCATTTTTTTTCTTTGTAGAATATTCTTCGATAAAACTAGAACTAAAAATACCTGCTAGAATTGAATAGAGAAAAGATGAAAACAAAAATTACGCAAAAGAAAATGTTCAAATCTATTGTCATATCGTTAAGTAAACAATCATTTAATTTAGTTTTTTTTTTATGGCTTCTTTATGAGAAAATTGATGCTTATAATTCAAGGGCATTGCTGACAACGAACTAACAACAGTACACTTAAAACAAACATGTTAAATAAAAAGAATATGTTCTGTCACTATTGTTCAGTATATCTGATATTAGAATATTAGAAATTGACCGTCATTTCATTGAACTTCTCTTAATTTGTTTTTACGGAAAGAAAAAATATACAAACTGAATTAGATATTTATTCTATCATGAAACCATAAAAGAATAATAATAACACACTGAAAAATTTATAAACACATTGCTTTGAAGTTGAAAATACAGAAATTATTATTAGCCTCAATGATTTATCAATATTCTACCACAAACAAAAACGATCGTACTTATATGTTTCTGACATGGTATAGACGCACACATTGAATTTTTCGATTCTACACTGTAAGTTCATTTACACGTACACCAATAAACTTGCTTTCACATTTCAACTCGCAACTTTCTCGTAATATTGCACTCATCGACCTTTTTCTATGCAAAGTTACAAATGAAATAGGATAGCTATTCTTGCTCATAGATCTGAAATAAATTACAATGTTCTGTTTAAATCGTATTGCCTATTAGTGAAAACAAGCTACAGACATGAATCTCTTATATAATCGCCACTCATTAGAATTTATAAAATATACATCATGTTGTGGATAAAATTAACAGCAATCTGTCAAAATACTCTCATCACTTCAGACCAATTGAACAAAAAATGATAGATGAACGTTGTATTAGTCACTGAGACAAAGACTTCCATTATTCTGAATAAGAATGAATATAGTCCATTGACACTTTATAATATATATATATAAAGATAGTTTATTTTGATGAAAGTTAGAAAAAAAACTTTTAATATCAATAAAGATATCAGTTGGTTTCTATAGCATATTTCATGATGAAACTGTGTTAAAAACAAAACAAGATTTTATTTCATTTCAATCTGATTATGTATCTTTTTTTTCGACAATCATTAACAATTGATCAACAAATTGAACAAAAATAGGTTCCATCATGGCTTTTTGCATGTCATCAGCTGGATTTATCGAACGATCTAATGCTTTAATCATTGTTCGTAAATGACGATTCTTCAATAATTCAAGTACTTCATTTGATTGATCTACAATTTGACATACATTCTACACATATTCTAAAAGTGTTCATAAACAAAATCTAACCGATTCGTTCGAGTACATTCATTGGAAGCCGATCACTTTCTTCATCATCACCGAGTTCAATCGGTAATTGAGTTTGTATTATTGGAGCTAAATATAACAAATAAAAGATGCAACTACTAACGACGGAATTTTTCCTAAGTGCTCAATCACTTTTGACCCAGAACGATGTTGATCATGTCGGCTCGAATGAACTCTGAGCACTCTGTAGAGAATTCGAGCCCTTATGTTTATTATTACTATATTGCATGCATGTGATATTTTATTTTATTTTATTTTTGCAGAATGGCATATTCTTCTTTTCACATATACCAGCAGAATTGAGTTTAGAAATTTTGCACAGAGACAAATCCTAATTGAAACAATTTGTTGTGAAACTTACAGATCTTTTGATATTTTTTCTATTCTAATCTATAACTACCTATAGGAAACAGTATATTTTTCATATACATCGACATATGTTACTGAGTAGAAACAATCAAAAGATCTGAAGTTTCACAATAAAATATTTTCCTTCAAGTCTATGTCTGTGAAATGTCAAGTTAAAATTTGAAAATCCATTCCTCTGATATTTCTTAGAAAGACCACATCAGTCCACTAAAAAAAAACTTTACCGCAAAAATGCAATACTTTGATAGTGATAAGCTAAACTTTCGATTTCTTTACAAACATATTTATAGCTCATTACTGCACATAATCCTGACACACACAAAAAAAAAAGAAATGAACACTTAGAAAAATTCCTGCGTAAAATTCAAAATCAATCTCGTTACATTGTCATGATAACTTATATCAATGGATTAGACTTTATGATCTTCATTGTTCTCACCTTCTACTGTTGACTTCGTTTCGAGAGCTTTTTCAAAGCATGTTTCTATTTAAATTAATTAAATATTAAATATTAATTCGATAAATATCTATTACCTGATGATTTATGTTTCTGAAAACATGCAACTGAACAACTGAAAAATAATCATCATTAATAAAATATAACTTCCATCATACTTACTATTTAATTCTACATTTTGCACATTTATAAAGAATATTATTGTTTTCATAACAAACATGGCATTGCATATTTTATTTCTCGTCTAAAATTATCGTTAATAAATACAATAAAAGAAAGAAAAAGAAATCACTTCAAAGAAATCAAACTGTTCATTCTCTTTAGGCATAGTTTTATAAAAAAAAAAAAAGCACTTTTGTTCTTCATTCGTTGTTTATATTTTTTTTTTTGTTCATACGAAAAACTAATAAAATAAAGTTTCATCTGACAATCGGCACAATTTCACCGGTTCGTGCTGCTTCACGAATAGCAACAATTGCTTCCTGTACTTTATAAACAATTTCAAAAGATGTAAGTTCGGTAAACGTTGATCGAAGTATTTGATTTATCAACGATTCTTTCAAATGTCCAATAAAATAATAAAACGATTGAATGAAAATTAATGGTATTTCAGGATTTTCATATGAAAACTGTGAAAATTTTTCATTGGTATCTGAATGAAATGAATCAATTAATATTTGATCATCAAAATTAAAACGACGTAACACTAAACGATAATCATTAACAATAAGTGCACATTTTGATGCTATTATTATTAATTCTTGATTATATGTTGATGATATATGTGAATTTGATATTATATTAACAAAGATAGGTGGTAAACGTATTGATCGATTATAATTTATATGAAATGAACATGTTGTTTCATTTGGTGATTGAATATAAGCGTGACTTATTGTTGATAAATTTTGTGTGCCAAATAAATAAAAAAGTATAAAAAGTGCAAATGAACCAAATCGATTAAGAAGACTACTATTTATACGATCATCCGAACATGATTTTAATGAACAACAACGAATACGAAATTCAATTGATTGAATATCACCTAGAAAAAGAAAAAAAAAAAAAAAAATGAAATAAAATTTATAAGAAAAAGAAAAGATTTTTTTCTTTAAATGAAATTTATTTCTACCTATATTTGTTTGTTCATCATAGATATAACGTTTAAGTTTAGTAAATGTTGGTAAAAATCCAATTGGATAACAATAGCAACATAATTGTTGTTGAATTTGTTGTATTGATATAAGTGATTTTGGATCAACATTAAATGGTGGCATGCAAATAACATGATGATTACATGGTTTTATAATTGATGTACTTGTTATACGCTTCATAAGTGGTAAATGTTGATCAGTTTCTGTACAAATAAAAATAAGATATGGTTGTGTTGCATTATTTAATAGTTGATCAAGTGATGCTAATGAACAAAAATATGAATCAATATTTAATGTATCTTTACATAATGAAATTATATCAGATGTTAATCGATGTGGTGACCAGAGATGAACTATTTGAAAACCAAAAGCACGTAAAAGTGGTACAACAATTTTAACAATAGGATTAACACCAATAATTAATATAGGAGGTATGGACGGCATCTGAAATTTTTGGTAAGTCGAAATACAATATTAAATAATATTTTATTATCGTTATTAGTACATTTTTTATTTTTTGATTAGTATTATATACAAATAGGAAAAAAAATGACATTTATACAAGGTTAAAAATACACACATGTGCTGTATAAGATATATGAACATAAAAGCGCACCATACCAACGAAATGCATTATTGTATAAAGTTGGTGTACGAATAACAAGTGGGCAAATTTATAAAAACAACACAAATATAAAATAAGAATACTGCTGCTACGAACAGAATAATATTTTATTATATTTTATATATTTTTATACTCTTCGCATCTATATTAATTATTACTCATCTCTCATATTCATGTTATTAAAAAACGGAAAAATACAATCATATGTGAAATACACATAATAGAAATAGTATGATATGACCCATGATCAATAAGATTTCGACAATCAATGTATATATATATATATATATATATACGAGAATACTGACAACAGCAACAAGAAAGAAAACACAAATAAATGTCTATTTACAACACAAGAAAAAAAAAAGGCATAAGTAAAACAATTCGTCTCGGAAGAACGATATCAGATCATTAGAAAAAGAAAAATACCAACGAAAAATAATTATAAGAATACTGTCGACTAGGCTTTTTGCAGTTCACATATATTGCATTTGACACACATAAAAAACAAAAAACAAAAAAAAATGAGATTAGATGCGGATTATCATGTGTATTTCATTCTAAATTAATACACCCAACTAACAGGTACCCATTGAGGTTGTAAACTAACTCGTTCAATAGCATGTTGTAACTAATAACAGACAAAAAGAAAATTAATTATCAAAACGAAATTATTTATTTACTGTGCGTATTGTTTCTTCAATATCATTATTAACAATAACGAGATCAAAATAATGTCCATAGGCTTGTTGAAGAAGTTCACTTTCTTTTACTAATCTTTCTAAACTATCATCCTATTAGGAAAAAAGAATCAACAATAGAAAATTTCAATTTTAACAAATGAAAAAATCATGATCGTTTTTCTTACATTAACGCCTTTAATTTGTGAAAGATCTGGTGCAGCAATAAAAACAATATATGGTGCAAATTCCGCTGTACGTAAAACTTTTAATGCTTGTGGTTCAACATCAAGTATAGCCATAAGACCTTGTCGATTAATATTACGTATTGTTTCAAGTTTTGTTCCATACATAGCATCATCATGTGTACCATATTCAAGATATTCATTATTAGCTATATCACGCATCATTTCTTCATGTGTTACAAAATAATAATTTTTTCCATTTTCTTCTTCTTTTTTTGGTAATCGTGTTGTATCTTAAATATAGAAATAATTTATTAAAGTAAGAAAAAGAAAATAAGAGAAATAATAATAAATCGAAATATTTACGTGGAATCGGATAAGCAAAATATTTTGGTTGACTTGTTATTAATGTATTTTTTATATGACGACGACCAACACCATGTGCACCTAAATGAAAAAAAAAATCTTTTTAATAAGTGGTACTTTCAAACATCAAATTTTTATTGATACGAACAACTTCATAACTATTACCTCTAATAGACATACAAAAACTTTAGCCTTTTTTTTTAATCTATATATATAAACACATTATTCAATGATTCGTTTATAATTATTTCGATTTCTTGAATCATTCTGATCTTTAGATTGCTGTTTAATAAATATTTGTTTTCATATGTTCTAATAAAAAGAAATCCAATGAGATTAAAGCTAGTGACTATAAAGCTCATGAGATTGCTTCATCTTTTCTAAACTACTGTTAATCGAACTTATCCATCAGCCTAAAGCAAACAGTCTTCGGGAAATACACTGATAACGTATGTTGCTGGAAAATAATTTTTTTTTAGGAATGCTTTTCTTTTTCTACAAACTCAAATAAAAGAAGCTTCAAAACATATGAAGATTATTTTGTTGATCGATCGTTGGAACATCAAAAAAGCAAAAATAATTCAACAATCAGTTAGGTTCACATGCCACACATGTTTGTGATGGGATGAAAGTTATATCAAAGTACTATCGCAACAATGACAGCTTCTTTAGGAATATTGTAAGATTGCATGCATCAAAATCGAATTTGAGCATTTACAAGTTCAACAATGATAATGTCTTAACTACTGCCGAATGTGTGCGTGTGAATAGCATCCAAGAAAATGATACAATTAGAACACAATCGTTGTATTATATCTTCATAACATATCGAAAAAGGAGCTGATAGTCTCTTCAAGAATACTTTGGAAACTTACTTCTCTAAATAAAAGCTTCGTCAATGAATCTATTATTTGCAAAAAAAACTAGTTGACCAAATGGAATTGAACAGTAAAGCTAGAGGAAAAACTTATTGAGACACACTATAATTATTTACCAAGTAAAACAAGTGTTTTTCGGCGAAATTCCGGTAATCGAATAACTTCTTCATATGTCACCAAATCAAGTTGATCAAAGACAGCATTATGCTTTGCTAAATATTTATCTTTCATTACTTTACGTTTTCGACCAAATACACCACAATTAGCTAAAAGAATAAAAAAAAAATATTAAATTCAACCTCTGTTATTTTCGTAATGTTTTATTTAGAGATATTTATTCAGATTGTTCGAAAGTTTTCTTTGTTATCGATATTGATTACTATTAGGAGAGCTTTGTAGAATCAAATTTTTTTGAATTCCAACTCCGAAATTTTTTTTGACTGCCACACCATTTTTACCGAACTCGGGATCTCCAGAAAACCCGAAAGCTAGTTTTTCAGCATTCAGAAACCGAAAAACCCTTTTTGTCCAGTTTTCCCTGAAGCAATGGCGAAACAACTATGTTTGAGCGTTGTTTAGTATTGATGGTGTTCCATGAAAAAATTTCGTAAAGAACTCGGAAATAGCTCATTTTGTAGAGAATTAATAGCTCTATTACTCTGTGTAGTTAAAAGAAACTTGTTTTTCTTGGATTCTGTGTTTATTGGAAATAATTTTCTCTTTTCAATTCACTATTTGAAGTTTTTTTGCAATTTACTATTACAAAAAAAAAACGGAAATTGAATCGGTATGATCATTTTTTGAAGTTACTGTATACTTCTTGTTGACTACTTGTTAATGAGAATTTCTTTCAAATTGTTGTTTTTTTTCTTGAAGCTTATTTATGAATCTATTAGGTGGTGCAATTTTGTTTGTTACTTTACATGTGAAGCATGAACTTATCACTATGTAAAGTTAAAAGTCTTGTCTATTTTACTGATGTACGTTCAATATTGACTCCAAAAAAAAAGCAATTCTTCACGATCACTCTGACCCCAAAGAGTTTTTTTTCACGACTCATTCGGAGTACGATGCTGAGTTCTATCTATTACCAAACAAAGATTACTATCGGAATTTCATCTTTATAAAAGAAATTATTTTTCAGAATATGACAAGAATCATAAATGTTCTTTCATTATCGATTGATCAAAATTATCTGTAATTATAAATCAACTAGATGATAGTTCGGATTTCCTTCTAGCAATAAGTGATGCCGTTGATAAATCAACGATTAGATTAAAAAAGTGATAATTTTCTTTCCAGAAACGAGCTTGACAAGATATATACCGATGAATGTATTCAAAAGATATTATCATTCATAACAAGACAAAAAAAAAATTTTCTTCTTCATATAGACGAACTAGAGGCATACTGAAATGAACTTTTCATAATAATTCTTCTATGTTCGGGATCAGTGATTACTGATTGTACTAAAAGCATAATATCACGAATACAAATCAAAGCAGAATAGTCAAAATTGTTGACAAATGTATGAAAATTTGTAATCATAGAGACAAAAACATAGAGCTTCTTTAATAACTTCCTAGAATAGTGCCAAATGACTTCGGTGACAGCTATGAAATCAACAAGTCAAGAAGATCTACCGGGAATTAATAAATCTTAACTTCTCGCTTGAATAAAGCCCAAAAGATTTGAAGGATAAAAGAAAATTTGAATAATTATATTACAAAAATAACTGTTCTTTTCTTTGCATTAATGAAGTACGATTACAAGTTATTTAATATTCAAAACAGAAAAAAAAATGAATTAAATCGAAACAAACTATTTCGAATAAATCGTTGATTAATTCAAAACTATTTATTAAATTGTCAACATGACAAAATTACTTAAACATAATCTCAAGAGAAATAATTTTCTGTTCAATACTCATCTCTATATTATCAATATCCAATTTATTCGAAAAAAAAATATCAAAACACAAATCATATCTTACCAGTTCCATCTCTAGCTTTTTCAATAGCATTCGTAGCTATTCTCCATTCCTGTAATTCTGGTGATGGTATTAAACCAGCTGGTAAATTATTATAATCACTATGATAATAATTTATTGTTTGTTCATTAGAATTAGGATGTGAAATAATTTTTTTAGCTTGCCACCAATTATGATCATCTTTTGATATTACTTGTAATATATCACCAATGAAAAATTTTATACCTGCTTGAGCACTTGGTATTAAATCATCATCTTTTGGATCGTAATTAAATAATGTTTTTACATATATCTATATGAAAAGTTAAAGAATTAATTTAAGAAAGAAAAAAAAAACGTAGATTTTTCGATGTATACATCACAAGGTGGTGGTTGACTGCGGTAACTAGGTACAATTTTAAATGTAATGCTACCACGTGCATCTCTCTAAAAATTAAAATATATATAAATTATAATATTCGAATTCTTAAAGAAAAAAGTCTTTAATATACCAGCATTTGTTGTAAATATTGAATTGGATGATTAGAAACTGTTTGTCCATTAATTTCTTTGATTTCATCACCTACATGTAATGTACCTTGTCGATGTATCATACCACCATTAAGAATACGTGACACAATGCATCGTTTATTTTCTGTCATACGCAATGTAATACCCTTAATAAGAAATAAAGTTTTTTTGCATTAAAAAAATATTCATTCGTTTTTTTTTGTTCTTCTATCTTGACAGATTACCAGTGGCTCATCAGTATTACGTTGAAATTGAACAAGTCGTACACGTGTTACGTCACATGGTAAATCACTTAATCTGTCATCACCGACTTCATTTGATGCACTACCATTGTGACCACCGTAATCATTATCAAGGCCAGATTCTGATGCTATTGTATTGTTTCCAATACATGGCGGTGTAATACGTATAGCATCATCACCATAGACTTCATGTGCAACAACGTCATGTGCTTGTAGAAGAGCCTATTAAACAAAAAAGAAACAAATAAATTATTAATCTACATATAAAAAATTTGAAAAGAAAACGACACCAAAAGGCCAAGTTCAAGTAGAACAGAACGTTCTCTTGTATTGTCTGTTGTCATTGCTCTTTCTTTTCTTCCTTGATAGATTAATCGTATGTAATTTATTCCACTTTATATAGTTAACGAAAAAGTCTACTTATGAACGTTAGTTTTTTTTCTCCTGAAAGCATATTATTTTCTCTGTCGAATAAAAGCAGAGTAAACTTAAATGCACATGTTATTGTCAATCTAAATGTGCCACTCGATATTGAAGAGAATAATAACGCACAAAAAAGAAAAACAAATCGAGCAAAACAGAGGAATGCGTAGACGATGAAAACTACATAAGAATAGAAACACACGCAAACGTAAAATACCAAATAGAGGATAAATTCAGAGAGAGAAATCCAACGATGGTCCAATGAAAAAACATCGGCAAGATATAGCAATTGTCATTGGCAGCGTCTATATTCGGTACCATCATTCAACACAATCATTTCTAATTATGAAAAGAAAAGGGCAAGTAACACAACGCGAAAATGTTGCTTATACATGCACAGACTGTATTTATATGATGTGCATGTAGACGTATCGCAGACTATTCTATATTCATGTCAACAAATATCGAAGTTGATGCATATGTACATATTATATTGTTGCATGCCAGAACATACGAATGCTCTTTTGTAAGGACTTTTCACATAAACATACAACAAAATGCTAGAATACTCAAAAGAAAAAAGAAACATATCTAACAATCATGCACGAACATGTAGAAATGTTTTGTCTTATATAAGATTCAAACATACATAATTTGTTTGATAAGATAAATTTCTTTTACTACTCACTCCATCTACAAGTATTAGAAGTGTAACCAAAATTAGAGAATATAATTATCATGTGATGACTAGAAAACATGCGTGAACATGAATACTAATGGCTATTAGAAAAAACGAACCAATCTTTTTTCTAGCTAGTTCAGTAGGATTATTGAACAGTAAGTTTACTTTTAACAAGAAATAATTAATCAAACGTAAAACAAAAATAAAAGCCTAAATCTTGCATGTAAGAGCATGCATACGATATATAGAAAAATATTGCATGTCGATGCAAAATCAGTGTAATAATGGATTTTTAATATATACAACCTTTTAATATTGACCTGCATAAATTTAACAAAGTTCTGATCGTGTTGTACTGGCACGCAACAAACACTTTGATAATCATATCTGGCATGAATATACAAAGATTAGCGCATACGAATATCTGCAAGAATAAGAGTCTCGCATCATCTTACATATTTTATTTCAAAATATAAACAAAACAAAAAAGCTGTGCTTGCGAAACATAATTCTACGTATGTACTATTGACCTATATTGATAAGCAAAAAAATTACAAATATTTAAAATAGCTCACGTGTTTATGCATGATAGATAAAGAATGAGACAAAAAAATCTTGTTACTAAATTTGAGTTTTTGAAAATTGTTCCTACTCAAGTTCTTTTTTTCATGTTTGATTCGGAATCATCGGGATATAGTAGAATAAAATTCCCTTTCTTAATATTGAAAACAGATAGAAGTGATTGGCTTTTTCTATCGCAGAAATTCTCTAGGCAACGTAATCAAGTAAGATAGACGCAGAAGTGTGATTGAAGTTGATATATTCAACATCTTTTTTTTTCAACTTCGTAAAAAGTCTATTAAGATGACATATAGACGTTATTAATTTAACTTTATGTCACTTCTCATATAGTCCCATTCATGTCACTAAAGTGGTTTTTTATGTAAAAAGTATATATAATCAACACTTTCATGACAAATTATAAAAGACTATTTGTCTTACTAAAATACATACCATTAAAAAAGAAAGTATATCTATACTTCCATTGTAATTAGTATTAATAATATTGTGACAGAACGAAAATGATACGACAATTTATTGATCTAGCCTTTGAAGCAACAACAAGACAAATGATCGACTGTAACAAAGAATAATATTATTTTTATCCATTTTCTATTCTCGCTGTCTCTGTTTATAGATATATTCTCTGTTTCTCATTTTTTTTTCTCGATATTTTCTGTTTGTCGTACGTCATCTCTTTTGTTTGCTCTAAACACACAAGAGAGTGCACGTCTGTTAATCATTGCTGTTGGGCAAATTCTTGTTATCACAAAATACATGCGTTTTGAATTGATCGGAGAACGACGGAATGGATGGATCGATCGGTTTGACTTTCCCGTCGGCTATATTGTAAAACATTTAATTTAATCGCTTCGTTCCATTTCTTTTTTTTTATCAAGCTCCTTTCGGTTATATCTCATAAACGGAATAGATAAAAAACCGAACAATATATATATATAGAATGCTAAGCAAGTATCTCATTTAAAAAACAAAACAAAAACCGATGAATTTTCTTTTTTTGTCTTTCACTTCTACAAATAGGAACAAAATTAGCATACAAAGATATTAATCAAATTTTCATTTATATTCAAAATGAAAAAAAAAACAATCGACAGAAAAACAAAATGCCTTCTCATCAGAAAACAGATGTATATTATACGTCAAGTATGTACTTAAAATAATGCTTACTTGTTTCATATTTTCAAGCGCACAATAAATGCGTAAACTATGCTCATCCATTATAAAAGAGATTATAACAATAATGATGGTACAATTAATATCAATAATAATAACAAGAAGCATGCTTCTTGTTCAATAAACTAAGTCATATTATGGGCAAATAAGATAGTAAAAAAACGATCACCTTAGATAATTATCTGAATAATAATAATAATAATAATAATTTTTATATTTTTTTAAAGAGAAAAATTTCATGCTAACGATTGTCAACATCATTGCGATCTAATAGATGTTCATATAGTCGATAATCAAGAAAAAACCATTGAAAGAAAGGAAAAAAGAAAGGAAACTATGAGCAAAAAAAGAAAAAGAAGAGATAAACATGGAAGAAAACGAATCTAAAAGGGGAAAAAAAGGAAAAAAAAGACCAATGATAAGCCCAAAGAGACAAACGATCAGATTTCAATCATCTTCTCCTCTTTTTTTTTCTCTTTCTATCTATTGCATTCCATTGAGATAAGACTAAATAATATACATACAAACAATTAATCGCTTCTTTAAGTTAAATTTTCTCTTGAACTATATTTTGTTAATCATACCTGTAAATGTGGTTGAAGTAAAATATTAAGAAGGTCCTGAACATTTGATGATTTATGTTGATAAGAGTTTTGTTCAATTAATGTAATAATATCAGAGACAATTTGCAAAGCATTTGAGTCAGGAATATTATATGGACGAATATCATCCGAATTAATACGATCATATAACTAACAAATCAAAATAAAAATAGGTAAAAATCTTTTGTTTTTTTTCTTTTACTTCAAGTAAAGTTTGTAATTGTTTATCTTCAAATAATTTTTGTAGAAAATCAAGTTCAACACGATCACCAATAGTTAACCATTGAGTATCTTCTAAGGAATCGAGGATTTGTGAAACAGCTAGAAACATAATAGAGAAAAAAAAATTATGAAAAAGTACATCGATATTAAATATCTTTTTTATAATATAAATCACCTGCTTGGTTTTTCATAATTATATAAAATATTATATTGATAATTTACGAAGAACAATAGAAAAGATAACTATAACTATATATATGTATATGTAATAACTCAGTCAAATAGTATTGAAACAAGGCATATATATATATGTTGGAATATCTATAGAATAAATAAGTTGACTCGTTTCTGTTTCTAGTTTATGACTTGTAGTCACTCCTTAAGAATAAAAACCTTACGGCTATGCCATAGATAATCACTTTAGATGAAACACGAGCGAACGTGTCATCTCAATATGCATGAAATGATCCTGGTAATTATAAACAGCAAACGAACAAGTATATATGTCGTGAATTAAGTCAAGATATATATATATCTATATCTTTGATCGTTTGTAATAGTATAAGACGGCAAATAGAACAAACATTATTTCCATATGTTTTGCTATCTTACCGTTAGAAATAATGTTTTCAGAATGTGAATGACTACTATAACGCTGTTGGTGATGATGATGATGATGATGGGAAAGCATGCGCATCTTAAAGCAATTAATCTACTTTGTGTGTGTATGTTTGTGTCCGTCTTCCTTCATTACTTCTTACATTTTCTTTCACATACAACTGACAAAGAAGACAAGAGAATAAGAAATAGAGATAAGAAAAATAGATAGAAAATAGAAGATGAATTTCTTTTTTTTCACTCACTCTCACTCTTTCTTCGTTTATTCATATTGTGTTGATGATTACAAGATGCATGAGCACACACATACACGCATCATCATCATCATCATCATTATCATCGTCATCATATACTTGTCTATAAATTTCAAAACTTACCGGATGATGCCATATCATCAAAATCATTTGAAGTTGTTGTTGTCATATCTTTCATCATATTTGATGATAGATTTGTTATTGTCATCGATGAAAAAATTGGTATTTGTGACCAATGAGGACTTGACACAGCTGCTAATACAGCACCCTATATAATAATAAACATGAAATAAAAGATAACGATAATACAAATATATTTTTCTGTTTTACAAGTAAATACAGATCAATATGTTCTTGACCAAAAAAAAAGACTAAAATAATTTTTTTTGTTTCTTTTGTAAATATGAAATTCTAAGAATATTTTAAGTTAAAAGAATGTCCTGAGATATCAAGGGGATAATTTTTCATAATTGCCTTCATTTTTTTGTTGCCTTTAGACATAAATTTATAAAGAATTTTACACAGTTAAATATAAATCTATTAAGACGTTGACAAAGAACATTTTATATTTGTCGACGGTAACTTGTCCAAGACAATTTTCTAAATGTCTTTAGCAGATGCTTAAGTATGCTAATTTTAATTAAAAAAAACAATACTAAATCTTTCAAGATATTTGAACTTGATGAAAGAACAAAAAAAAAGCTAATTTTCTCAAATTACAACAGAAAAAAAATTACCTTTAATTTACGTCGTGCATTAAATTTACGTAGTTCTTCAACAGTATCAGGTAGATGTTTTCTTAAGGCAAATTTTTCACGTTCCTAAATAAAAATTTTGATTTATTCGATAAGTTAAACATGTTATTATATTTGTCAGATAGTATATCCATAGGGGATTATGACAAATCAGATTATCTTAGCAAGATCAATAATCATCTGTTTTTGAAGAAAACAAAGAACAAATATAAAGAATATGTTGAAGTGTTAAACAGTTATTTTTCTTTTTCACACATAATCGAACAATATCCGCCAAGTGTTTCTTTTTTTTTATTTTATTTTTTACTCATTTACCTTTTCTATCAACACTTCAGTATATTTTTGTTCATTGTTAATAAACCAAACAAAAACTTAGAAACAAACTAACTGTAGGCAATAGAAAAAAGAGAAAAAAAAACACAAACCTACATTAATAATGTGTCTATCATTTTAAAGATTTTTTTGTTTTGCTATTAAAAGTAGATAACTATTATTTCTGAAACTATTAATGAAAATGTTCATGACATGAAAGATACATAAACGTATGGTATGATATCAAGTTTCAAGCATAGTAATCAAATTATAAAATATATAAACGATTATAATAATTATTGCTTTCCGTTTTTTTTTTCTATTTGCATTTATGAAACGACTTCGATATTAACTGAATGGAAAATGTCTCTTTGCAATGCTAAATCTCGTTATCGGTTTTACCTTCAGTTTTATAAACATATCCGCAATATGTAAATATATACAAAAAAAAAAAATAATTTCTCCTTGTCTCTATTTTTTTTCTCATTTCCTCGCCATGCAACTCGAATGCTTTTTTTTTCTAAGAGATAGATTTTCTCCTTTTTTCTGAAGATAAAATACTTAAGGTTAAGAATACTCGAGTATCCACTTTTTTTTCTATGGTTGTTTGTTCTCTAGCATATACATAATAGTCGAAAGATTTGATGAAATTACTAAATATCACTATTTAAAGGGTAAAGTACTACGATAATATTTTTTTCCAGCAAAAAAAAAGGAAGCCAATTTATCTGCCGGCATTGCCGAATTCTATTGACAATATATATATATATAATATAGTCAGACAGAACGTCTTAAGACATATAAAACACATTTTCTTGAAAATATTTTATTAATATAATGTATTCATATGACACAAGGTAGCACACATTAAAAACATATTTCATATATATAGATAGTATCCATCAAAATTTTACAAATGACATCTAGAACGCTATCAAGTAGTCTAATCTAACTATATGTATCTCATTTCTTTTCACATATAGTATTCAAAAAACAAAAGGATCAAATAACACATAAGAAAAAAGTACATGAGATATTAAAGCATTTCTTTATGTCATTTCTAGTGTACGTTATAATTTAATCAATAAGGTCAACGGAACCTCTTTTAGAATTATACTCATATTTGTATATGTCATTCTCTTGCAATATTTTAAGAATTGTTAGAAATTACACAGCAGTTTTCTTTTTGTGTCACAAATGTTAAAAACAGATATTCAATGAACCATCGATTGTTTTACTTCATATACGGATGATTATTTGTTGTGTTGTAGAAAGATCAACAAAGAAACAAAGCCACATCAGAGATGGGATTGGTTCAAATTTTTCAAAATTTAAACAGAAGCGAACCGATCCCATCTCTAATCCACATCCATACCGTAAGACTGAAACAATTGTAATTCAACATCATACGGGCAATCTTGGTAAACGATATTATGATGGTCTTATGGAATATTTAGATAGTTTATCATTTGATGTTGTTATACAAAAAAATGACATTTTTTAAACTGTTGTTTTTTTATTTCTTGACTTGTGTGTATAACCTCTATTGGAATGTTGGCGTATCGCCATACAATAAAAAAAAAACTGTGTGTTGCGAGTTGAACTCTTCTAAAGCACTTTTCGACCTTTCTATAAGCAACCGATGATTTCATAGAAGTTTGATTTCATATATTCGTGAATATGAATATACTAAAAGTTGTGAAATGGAAATTTTTATTGTTCTATAGGGAAAAAAGAGAATTCTTAGTTAGATAAATTTTATATTATATTGTTGGAGATTTCTGTTTTTCTTCTCTCGATTTCAAATCATATAGGATACTTTTTTGAATTATTTCTGATTCTGACATTTTGATTAATCATATGAAATATTTTCTTTTAACTTACTCGAATCCAGGGATGTGTAAGTGCTTCTTTAATCGTTATTCTTTCGTTTTGGTCTAAACATAATAGTCGAGTAACAAGATCTTTAGCTGATTCAGATATATGTTCCCATTGTTTACTTTTCGTCTAAAAATTTAACAAATCTTTATAATATTGATTACTTTGTCTTTTTTTCCTTAAATAAAACTTACACTATAAACACATTTTGTGATCATATCAAAAACTCGATTTCTTGTACCGGCAAATGGTAATGTACCAGTTAAAAGAACATACAACATAACACCTAATGCCCACATATCAATCGGACGACCAAAACCTGGTGATTCCTTATTAACAACTTCCGGTGCCATAAATGCCGGTGTACCAATACGACTAGCTTGAATTAAATCAGATTCAGGTAATTGTAATGCAACACCAAAACCACCTAATTTAACTGGTGCTGCATTTTCTTTGGATGATAATAAAACACAATGAGGTTTTAGATCACGATGAATTATACCACGATCATGAATGTAATGAACGGCTTCAAATATTTGACGCATATAATGACTATAACAAAAAAACCAAATTCATTCAAATATTTCAAATGAAACAAATTATTTAATAGATATTTGCCTAGCTACAGCCTCGCTGTATACAAAACCAGCAAGAGCACGTTTTTCAATTTCAAAACATAAATCAGAACCATCCATACTAAAAACAAAATCGATTGTTCTAATAAGATAAATTGAATTAGATAAATATATACTATTCAAAAACCATAAAAAGGCATCCTTCTGATTCAAATGTTTCATATAATTCGACAATATGTGGATGTTTAAGACTTGAACAAATAGTTGCTTCACGTCGTAAATCTAAATGTAAAAGATACAAGTTTTATTTTTATTGAAATACGTAAAAAATATATATATTTCACCATCAGTAGAAAATCCTGGTGTTGATGCAAATCGTTCAACATCAACAATTTTTACAGCATATTGTTTATCATCTTTTTTATTGGCACAACGACGAACTACACTGAATGGACCTCTGTATTAAAAAAAATAATATTTATTAAATAATCAACAACAATTCACATACTTTCCAATAATTTCATAAAGATTATATAAATCAGAAAAAGATGTTGATACATGTTCATTATTATCAGCTATTGTCGTAGTTGTTTCTATATGCATGATAACAATCGACGAAACAACATCAATAGATGCTTATTGTCGATAAATATAATACAAAAACAAAAAAACACATATATACTAAAGATTCAAGAACGACATCAACTATGAACAAAAATAACAATATGAATGATATGTCAATATTAACTATAGTCCTGAATAAAAATCAGCGAATGAATGATGAATACGATACGACATAAAGACATATGAGTCTATACTAAAGAAAATGGTTAATCAGGCTAATTTGATTGTATTTCCTATCATCCTAACGTGATGAGTTCGAACATGAAGATGAAATAACAACAATTAGCTTTAGCCAAATTGAAGACGAGAAAGGAAAAGATCGAGATGAATATAATACGTAGAGAAAAGGACAAGAAAAAAGTAAACAAACAACAAGAAACAGAACAAATCATTGATTGATCTATCTATCTACTAACAATGCCATCGGATTCGTCTATCCTCAGCCATTATTTATCCATAAACTAGATGAGAATTTTGTTTTCTGAGGGTTGGCTCGTTTATCAAAATTTATATACAACCGTCGTTGTCAATGAGAGATAGATAAGATTTATGAAAAACATGATAAGAGTTAGTCTGAAAAAACAATTGACAGATGACACTAGATGCTATTGATGATGACGAACAGTCTTTATGAAGTTGACGTTAATGTATGTGAGTTGAGTTAAATCAAGTCATATGAAGTCAACTTAGTTGATGTCATTCCCTAAGTCACATCTCTATGAATACAGATTACATCTGTGTAAAACGTTCAAACAGTTTCCGGACTGATTTCATTTAAAAACAACAGGAAGCGCTACTGTGTTAGTATCGTTGCCTGTGTGTAATTTATGCAGCTCTCCAACTTTAGACATCAAAAGCTCTATTTAATTAAACTAAAATTATATAAGATACATTTTATAACTTCTCATAAAGCACGAATAGTATATTGAAAGTTTGAGCAAAGTTTTATATTTTTGAAAGGTTAGTTACTATTTAATATTTACGAGTATATGTTGATAATTTAGGGTGATGATGCTCTATCACATACTACGACATTTAAATATACGCATCGTTTCAAAAGCAAATAGTTAGCTATTAATGATGGTTCCAGATGTAATCAATATATCGTTGGCATCATGTTAAAGAATATGACATTTTCATGCTTTGACTTAGATTATATTTATTTATCATTCAAAATACAAACAATATCCGTTATTTCTCAGCTAGCTGCAATGCGACTGTTTTCAATGATTTAACCTTTAAAAACTTGTCATTGTTATGTTATTTGTATTGAAATTATTATCAATGTATAATAATCATCTATGTTTAAAACATGAAGATTCCATTCAGATATTGTAGTGAGCGCTGGAGAATCGATTATATAAACTGTCACTATAGGTTCATCATAAATATGAGATGAAACATGTCTTCCCAGAAAAAGAAACTTTATCATCGAACGATCCTCAAAGTTTTTAATTTTCTATCAGTATATTTAGAGTGTTCGAAAATGTATTTCTATACTTCATAGATACATTTAATTTAGTAGAAAAAATAGACATTAAAAATTCAATCGCTTCACAAAATCTCAATAAGAATCTAAACTATCTTAGAGGCTTTACTAAAATACTATGTGGCGTCAATATGTGAAAGAAAATGATTGTAATCGGAAGGAAAAATCTGGAAAAATAATTTTTTTTTTCGAATTGAATCAAATTACTCTGTCATGATTTAGCTTGAGAATATTAAAATAAATTTTTTTATAACATTCTGAGTATCACTTACAGTCAATCATCAATATTATCAACAAACTCTTGTTTCTTCATTTAAAAATGTTGCTGCTATTATTAGGATTAAAATAACAGTTAATAATAGTATGTATTCATTTTTACAAATGATTTGACATGAATCCAATTAAAGCAAATCGAAAATTTGTCTCGTCCTCTTAATAATGTGATACACATGGCTTATACTTATATGAATAATGATTTACGATTCTTTTTGTTTCTTTATTGTGTATTGGCTATTTACCTATATTCTTCAGGTGATTGTATCTACGCATTGATTAACAATTGATAGTGTTTTTGTTTTTTCTCATTCATGTGACGAGTACATTTGATGACATGAATATGATGAGTACGAATATTCAATGATTTTACAATTACAAAACGAAAAGAAAACAAATGATAGCATTTGTGCGTCTAGTGTTTTATGTAAATGACATGCTATTCCATCATTTTAAGGTGATCAATTCTTTTTTTTTAGATAGATATGTTTAAATGAACAACCTGTTTCATTGTCTGTCATATTCTCTTGAGATTTTCTTCAGAATTTTGATGTAATGAGCTTCAATTCGTCATTAACCATAGACGAAATGAAATATTTTGTTTTTGAAAATTAGAAAAACAAGCACCATCTTTAATAGCTATTTATTACCTAAATTAAGAGCATTCGCAACTGGTGGTCACGATATTTTTTTCCTACTGATGTCATTAGGTTTCAGTTTTTATTCAATACTATTAGTCAGGCTTAAAAGACACATATGTGATAATAGCTGAACCATTAATGATGATGTTCTTCTCTTGATTTCAATGCTGTAAATGATATTTCATATCTATGGAATAGATTCTCAAGTAAAGGCTGAGTTTTTTTATCTGCGTAATATGACTAATTTAACCAGATCCTGATTCGAAAATTTTGCATCCGACAGATCCTAACACTGATCAGCCTAGTAACCATTGATTAATTATGATACTATTAAGAATGTTTGAAACATGTATCTTGACCGTTGATATGAAATCATTTACATTGAATTATATTAATCGAAATGAAATCTAAACAAAAGTCTTGTTATAAAATCACGACAACATGAATCTTATTAGACTTATTATTCAGATGATAAGATATTTTAAATATTAATTCGATTGAAAATATTCTAATTATAATGTTTTATGATGTTCAAGATAAAGAAACATATGTTCAATCAGTTTACAGTAGAGTTTATTATCCGATGAGGCTAGTTCACTTTTCTGATTATCGTAGAAAAACCATCTAAGTGCGACATCCTTCGCTTAATATTTGATATAAGCGACACTCAAAAACAAGAAACTGATAGTTTCAAAATATAATAATAATGTTTATCAAAGATTTTTCTTTTTTTCTTTTCAATTTTTTTTAATATAAATTCATAAATATAAGATCTTTTCGTTATCATTAATTTTGAACAACAACAACATCATAATAACACGCAAACAAATATATACGCAGTAGTCATTCGTTCGGCGGACGACGGTGTCTTATGTATATATATATATACACATATATACATGTTCTCGTCAATGATCACATGTTTTGTTATGTTCCTCTCATGATAGAATTTTTTTCTTCGTCAATGGTCAGCTGATCTCTCTATTTGATTATGTGTACTATAAAAAACAATTTGTATAAGGAAAAAGAAAAAGATAGAACGACGTCATTTGTTAATAATGACGTGATAGCGTATAACTCTCACCCTATTAATTTTCAAGGTCGTGAAAATTGTTTTGTATTTTGTTTTTTTTCAAGACTCATTCATAGTTCAAAGTATTTTTAATTTACCATTTTATTCATTAAAACAATGTGTTCACCATCACCAGGTAAACGTCGAATAGATACAGATGTTATTAGACTGTAAGTTTTTAGTTACTAAAAATTTCTTTGAGAAAAACATTTTTGTTTTCTTGATTTTAGTATTGAATCAAAACATCAAGTAACACTTATGTCGGGTCTTAATGAATTTATGGTTAAATTTGCTGGTCCGCGTGAAAGTAAATTTTTTTAATAAATACTTTTTTCATTGAACAAAATGTTTTTTTCTCATTTTCTATAGCTCCTTATGAAGGTGGAGTATGGAATATTCGAGTTGATCTACCCGAGAAATATCCATTTAAGTCGCCATCAATCGGTATGTACATAGATATTTAATAGAATTCTTAACAAAAGTATCTAGAGCTTAGAAGTGAACATCAAAATATATGATCGTGTTTTCTATAATAAGTTTTTTCGTTTTTGAAAACTTAAACGATATGTCTGATGTTGATAAAATTAGTTGAGAAGAATAGATATGTTTTGTACTTGATGTTTATTGTAACACATACATAATGAATTATAATTTATAGGCTTTATGAATCGAATCTTTCATCCGAATATCGACGAAATGTAAGTAAAATAGATTTTGTTTTTCGTTGTAAATTTCAATTTATTTTTCAAACAAATAGGTCCGGTACTGTTTGTCTGGATGTCATTAATCAAACATGGACGCCAATGTATGGTATGTAGAAATATATTGTCTTTGAATATTTATTATTTATTTAACTATGTATAGATCTTGCCAATATTTTTGAATCATTTCTTCCGCAATTACTTGCTTATCCAAATCCGGTGGATCCGTTAAATGGTGATGCTGCTGCTCTATATCTTCACAAACCTGAAGATTATAAGAAAAAAGTTAGAGGTTTGTATATTAAAAGCAAACAACAACAATGTTTATTTTATTTTAATGTTTGTTTATTCTTTTGTTTTAGAATATGTTCAACGTTTTGCTACTGCTGATATGGCTGATAGTTTATCATCATCCATAAATGGCCAATCATCGTCGAATAGTAGTTCAAATCAAACGAATGGTTCAAATAGTTCGAATCATACGAATAAAAATGAATCAGATGATGAAGTATTGAGTGATTTTAGTGAAGATGAAACTGCCAATATGGATTTAGAATAAAACATGCGTTGTGGATATTTGTTCTAATTATTTTTTCTTTTGCAGTATATACATAGACTTGTTTTCTTTTTTTTTTCTTCTTTCGATCTTTATTATTATTATTATTTCCTATACATAATCCCGTATCTGTTTGCTTGATTTTTCTTTTTCATGTGTTTAAAAAGTCGAGTTTCATCTTTAGAACACTAAGCGAACGACAAGAGAAAAGATTTCGTTTGATTTTTTCTTTTGTTGTTACCCTTAT